CGCTCTGCGGCGGGGGAGACTTGGGGCCTCGCTGTCAAACTCACCCTTAAAAATGCCACTTATTTGTTTACTTATACGTACATACATACATACACACATACTTAGGAAGAAGCCTTGAAAGGAGCAGGGAGCTGATATGAGGCAGTCCCGTCTTCTGACTGGTACTCTGCGTATTTCTATACGCATTCCAGCATCTGAAATCATTTCTGATCTCAGCACTGTTTCCTTTCTCACCCGCTGCCCTTTTCTGGCCTGCCACCAGCTTTTTGAGCCGAGCTTGCTCAGTGCGCAGCGTAAGCAGAGTCCTGGCTTAGAACTCAGGTAGCAGTAAGGAGCTAAGCAGCAGTACTGCTGCGGAACAGCAGGCGGAGTCGTGACTTCAGAACGCTGCGAAGACGTTTCGTTGTGTGAAATGTCAGTGTGCCCTGTTTGCTTCAGCTGTTCTGCGAAGTCGTCACTCCGAAATGGAAAGGGAATTGCGGCTCCAGTTACTACACTCTAGCCGTGGAAGGAAGTCAGACCTTAAAACACTTCTGTAATACTGCCTGTAATATATTTGGCTAAAGAAGTGATACTGAAATAAGTGATTTCAGGTCAGTACTGTTATGATAGTATTTTTTATTCCTTTTATAAGAAGCACTCAATAGTAAACTGCAAAAAGAAACCATCATAGGAGATTCAGGACATTATTTTCCCTCTCCTTGAAACATTAATATAGCATCTGTCATAATTACATCAAAATTGTGTGTTTAAAAGAAGGAGAGAGTAGCTTGAAGCTTGTTTTAAATCAAGGGTATAATTTCACAGGCCTCCATACTCCCAGTCCAAGTGCTTTGCAGCATTTTTTGAAACAGTTCCTTTACATATTTGAGATAGCTTTTCTCCATCTTTAGATATTTTCATTTTTTCCTTTGTAAGTTTATTTTCAAGAAGAAGAATTGGAAAATGTATTGTTATCTTCAGCTTATTTGCTATGTACTCAATAGCAGTATCTCTCAGAGGAAAATCGTTGAAAATTTTGAATGTTAGTTAGAGATTTAAAGTGAAACAGCTTATCCATTTTATCATTTATCCTTAAAAAGAATCAGATAGATTAAAAATAGTTAAAACAAGATATAATTACAGAAGATATTTCTTGAGCTGCTCAGGTTTACAGGGTGTTCAGGGTGTACTTAAAGTTATTGTATAGCACAGATGTTTTACTGTCTGTTTTTATTTCTATTCTCATCTTCTTCTGGATACTGTTTTAATGCCATTGAGATAAAAATGATGAAAATGAAGCCAAGAGATTAAAATTCAGAAAAGTGAACTTGTCTGTAATTTGCAACAATATATGGTGAGATTCATTTTCATCAGTTTGTCTGTCTACTAGGAGTCTGATCTCAAGATGCAGATGGCTATACAGATCCTTCTAAAACTGTGCCTTACTTGCATAATTATGTGTTACTTCTCAAATGTGTCAACTTTCAACTTCCTGTCAAAAACACCTTTTTAGAGTCCCTTAAAAATGTGGTCCTGTTAGTAGATTTTATTTTTAAAACAGAAGGAAGGAACTGCTCTTTTCCATCAAAAATAAGCAGCAAGAATCGCAAGAGCAAGAAAACCTTTCACTGAATAGTCACAGCATGGACAAGATCATCATAAATGTCTAGAGCATTTTCACACAGTGCATCCATGGCCATAAGGATTTGTCAGTGCAATAAAATTGCTGTGGAAGTAGCAGAAACGGCACTAACATGCTTTAAGTTAGATACTATTCTGTCATTGGCTTCCAGTTCAGAGAGATTTTGAGTAACTTCAGTTGTGCTGAAGTTAATACCACTTTCTTACCACACTTTTAAGAAATAAGAACTGCACTGAAGTTAACAAGGAGATTTAAAAAAGCAGATACCTCGTGCTACGTAAAGATTCACAGCACTGCAGTATTTCTGCTTATCTGGTTCTAGCCAAAACAGAATTCTTTTTGTCTATAGGGAAGATATTAAGCAAACAGTAACAAGAAGATCTTTATTTGTTAACATGACATTTATCTGTATGTTTTCACCATCTAAAAATATTCTGGCTCAGGGACACAATGACTTAGCCTTTCTGTTAAGGCAGCTGCAGTGAAGACTGCAGCAGTGTAAGGCTCTCCAGTGCCTCATGTCAGGCTGCTCTGCTCTCCTCAGGGAGGCTCCTTGGGCCAGGCCTCTGGAGGTGACCTTGAAAGCTGTAAGGGAAATGCAGTGAAACCACCTTTCTCTACCGCCAGAGCAGCATGAGAATAGCTACTATAGAGGACAGTCAAAACTGCCTCATTTCATTTCCATTTTTAAGTGGTACTAATGGTACTTAGTTTTTGAAGAGAGATAAGTACACTTCGACTATATTATATTTTACAGCTTACATTATTTCCAAAGAAATAGATTGTTCTGCTGTCCTTCTAATTACCATTAGAAAGCTGCTCATTTCCTGTCACTCTTCATGCCCTTTTTTTGCAGGGAGCATCTCCCTATCCCAGCCTTTCAGCTCATCATCTCCATCGTTTCCTGAAGAACCCAAGACAGATCTTTGAGCTGCTGACACAGCCAAAGACATTTGTGCTGCCTTGTGCCGGGGACTTCTCTCCAGTATCACTTCCCGGGGACTGTAGGAGAGATGATCATTAAGCAAGCCAGCAGGACTGGACACACTTTGCTCTTTACCTATTCAAAAACTTTCTGCTTTATACTGCCAGATGATGTTTGCAGCCCCAAAGGATCCCTAAGGATGTGGAGTTAGAGATAATCTGGGTCTGCTGTCCCCTGAGCGAGAAGCCCTGAAGCATCCAGTTACTCCTGCTGCCAAACAGGAGGAGGAATCTGTGGTGACAGCAAATAATGTTTTTTTAGCAGTGCCCATCCCTTCCCCTATAACAGCAGTTACCAATGTCCACATCTGAGCTATTGCTGGTAGCAAGGGTGAACCCTGCTTTCAAAGATTACGCCATAAACAAGTAGGCAATGGGGCTGTGGACATTTCGCTTCCCGCCCACTGTCGGCATTCAGTTTGGCTTTTTTCTGTATCACAGAATGTTTGAGGTTGGAAGGGACCTTTGGACATCATCTAGTTCAACCCCCTGCATAAGCAGGGACACCTTGCACAGCATCACGTCCAGGCGGGTTTTGAACATCTCTAGAGAAGGAGACTGCACAACCTGTCTGGGCAGCCTGTTGCAGTGCTCTGTCACCCTCACAGTCAAGAGGTTTTTCCTTGTGTTCAGGCAGAACTTCCTGTGCTTCAGGTTGTGCCCGCTGCCTCTCATCATGTTGCTGCTGGCCATTGAAAATCTTATTAACCCATCTTCTCAACTCTCTCCCTTTAGATGCTTGTGTCCCCTGGTAAGACCCTCCTCTCAGTCCTCTCTGCTCAGGCTGAGCAGCCCCAGCGCTCTCAGCCTCTCCTCACAGCAGAGCTGCTCCAGGGCCCTCCCCAGCTTCGCAGCCCTGCGCTGGCCTCTCTCCAGTAGCTCCGTGTCCCTCTTGTCCTGGGGAGCCCAGGGCACGTGCAGGACTCCAGACGTGGCCTCCCCAGGCTGAGCAGAGGGTCAGGGCCACCTCCCTCCCCCCGCTGGCCGCCCTCTTCCTCCTGCAGCCCAGGACACCACTGGCCTCGCGTGCCTGAGGTGGTTCCGCCCTCGGGGGAGGACCCTGCACTTGCCTCTGTTCAACTCCGTGAGGTTCCTGTTTGCCCAACTCTCCAGCCCGTCCAGGTCCCTCTGAATGGCAGCCCAGTCCTGGAGTATCAGCCACTGCTCCCAGCTTTGTATCAGCAGCAAAGCTGCTGAGGGGGCACTTGGCCCCTAATCCAGGTCGCTGACAAATTTGAACCAATATGCGCTCCGTACCGGGGGGGCACCACTGGCCACAGGCCTCCAACTAGACAGTACCATTTGTCACAACCCTCTGAGCTATGCCAACCAGCCAGTTCTCGATCCACCTCGCTGTCCGCTCATCTTACCCACCCTTCCTGAGCTTCCTCATGAGGATGTTACAGGAGATGGTGTCGAAAGCCTTGCCAAAGTCAAGGTAGACAACATCAACAGTTCTCCCATCGTCCATCCAGTCAGACATCCCATTGTAGAAGGCCATCAGGTTAGTTAAGCATTATTTCCCCTTGGGGAATGAATCCATGCTGGCTGCTCCTGATCACCTTCTCCTCCACATGCTTAAGAGATGACATCCAGGATGAGCTGCTCCATCACTTCCCAGGGATGGAGGTGAGGCTGACTGGCCTGTGTTTGCTCTGGCACATGAGCTCTGCCAGCTAAGCTTAAAGACACAACACTAAAAACAAGTTTGCTTCCCCTTCCACCAGGAAAAAAAAAGTGTTAGCAAAAAAGGCTCAAGTTTACTTTGGATTTCTTCACAAGTGGTAGTGCCATCTGTGGCATTCCTCATATAGCTGACTAGATAAAATGTAGTGATACGGAGTGAATACTATGAACGTTGCCTGTTGTTCAGATCGTCTATTAAAGAGAAGTTTTACTATATCACAATTTTAGGGACTGTTTTCCTAATCCCTATGAACTACTTTTAAAAAGCTGTGGACTTAGTGAAGACCCCTGAAATTACAGTTGTCTCTTAATAGCTCCTGAGAAGGGCCCAAAGTTAAGAAGGTCTTTTTATCAAACCTTGCAGGCCACTTCAGTAGGGAGGTCAGTTTTGGTCGGCCTTTTCACTCAAATTGGCCTTCCAACAATACATGAAAGGCTCAAACCTGATTGTATTTTGCTGGAAGTGTATTTCTGGTCATACAGTTACCCAACTTGTTTGTTTTGACTACATCTTATTAGTTCACCCTTTCAAAGGTTTCACTCTGAGAAACAAGCAGAGTCTGTAAAATAACTTTGTGTTCTTTACAGATGAGATTATTTAGAGAGAGATCTCATCCGAATCTGCACAATGAAGCTAGACTTTCCTCCCTCTCTAGCTACACAAGCCAAAAATGCATATTTTGAAGTATCAGTAGTTCTAACAGAGCTACAGAAAAAGCACAAGTCAAACATCCTGTAATTATGTTTTTATTTCACACTGTGCTGCAAGTAATTTACAAATGGGTTCCGGTAACACTTTGATATGGATAAGGCAGTCTTAGAACATTTTCAAGATATATGCAAAGATGACTTTAGGTTCATATCTCATAGGGAACCAAATTAGTTTCTCCATGGAGAGAAAATGAAATTATTTAACATGCTACCCCGGTGAGCTAGAAGATTAAGAGCAAGTGTATTGAAAAATCAAGAAATGTGTGCCAGAAGTTGAAAGCATCAACAGTGCATATTGCTCAAAGTCTTTTAATACATTTTACATATAAACATGAGGTAGGTTTTCCTTGCTACTCTAAAATACAGTAATCTCAAAAAAGAACTTCCAAATCTGAACTAATGCCAGTTTACAGTAAAACAGAAGAAAAAGAAAGAAATCATTCTAGATCCATATCAAATGAGCTTTCTGGAATAGTTAAGTCAATTCAGCAATTGATTTAACAGCAATTTTAGTCTATAAATGTCAGCCTAGGCTAAATTTCAGTTTAAAAAAAAAGAAAAAAAAAAGTATGGAACCACAGTATCCCCTTATTGTGTTACTTGCATAAACTCTTTTATTACTGATATGTACACTTACAAATTGATTTTACACAAGGACCAGTAGGCCTACTAGGAACCGAATTCAATTCTGTCTCATTGGTTATTCAGCTTGGTGAGAATCTCACTTCATCTTTTCAGGGGCCGAATTGCAATATATTCTAGACATACCTAAAAATGGATGAAAGAATAAAACAGTCACAACATGCAGCTTACAGCATCAGCTGAATTAAGCATAGTAAATATATGTTACTCTGGAGTAAAAACTATTGCTTTTTTTTTTTTTTTTGGTATTTAATAAGGACTCTCATGACATGGATGTTACTGTAGTGTAACAGCCAATGTATGTCAGATAAGCCTCAGTGGAATAAGGCAAAGGAGTCAGTCCCCTCTCCTGGTGCAGGATTTACTAACATGCAGATTTACTAAAATTGATATTGCGAGGCCTTTCACGTAGATTTGCAGCAGTGCAAGGAAGTTTAAAATGCTACCAAGTCTCACGTAGCCCATTTTCACAATGGCAAAAGCTTCCTCTTCTCACACGTATAGCAGCTCAGGTCTTGCTCTCCACAGAAATGACAGGCTGGACATTTTTTTTTTT